TGTATCTATACATCTGTACAGACTGGGGTGTTGTTTTAATACAAGGACCCCCCCCCTCCACACACACACACACCCAAACTGATGTAAAGATGGAGCAGGATCATCAACTATATACATTGTATACTATTGTACTGCATACTGCAATACTTGTGTGTTTTATATTCATCAGTGCTGTTTAACAGCAGTACCATGAAATACTAGGATATAAATAAAATTCTGGTTCATATATTTATATTTATATTTATATTTATACGTGCAATGTAAAGTACAGTGAGTACTGAGGCCTCTGTCAACTGACACCAATATGTTATAATAATAATAATTTAATTATGTTATTTTATTTATATTACTATATGTTTGTAGACATTTACGTTTTTAATTCAAAATAGATTTTAAAAAATCTGTGTAATTAACTGTAGTTTCTAGTTGAACAATTAAAACTTTTAATGTGATTAATCACAGGGTAGCTCTGGGTTAATAATGATTAATTATGATCAATTGTGACTAATTATAATTAATCATGATTAAACTTTCCTAAATTTGATTAAAAACTGTTCTTTTTAAAATAACAGCAGGTAGAGGTCAGTGTTTCTCACCTCCTTGTATTTGTTAATTATTCAAAACATGGAATTATTAATGTGGAGAAATGTCAAGAAAAATAATATAATTTTTAATCTAACTTTTTACTACATTTTTATCTAATTAGAGTAAATATAGTGTTTCAGTCGTTACTGTTGTACTACATCGTTACTGTTGTACTACATCTTACTACATCTGCCAGGAGGAAACACTGATCAATCAAAATTTGTAATCAGATTATTCTTCGCAAAATAGTTAACGTGATTAATGCCTTCATTTTGTCAATTCTAATATTATTTCTAACTGACTCTTCGTGTCAATTTCTCCAGCGTGAGATTCACAGTAAAATCTAATCAAAAATCTAAGACTTTTAAAGCTCGGCCTGGACCTGATTTATTTTTTACCGGGCCTCAAATAAAGGCACCGTGGGGTCGTGTTGACCTGAGTCAGGGTTCACTGTTCAATGCTCTGTCGGGGGCGTACATGCTGTGGTCGGAACACACAGGTGTTCTCACGTGGAAGGTTCTGTGAAGTCGGACATTTTGTCTCAGGAGCAGCAGCAGAACTGGACGTTTCCACAGACGTTCACCAGGAGAAATCAGAGCGACATTCACATCATTGTCCTGGACGTTTCTCTGTGTGTGTGTGTGTCTGCCTCAGAGGTAGGACACACACTCTGAGTCCAAATGTTCGCCCTCTGGTTACCATGGATACTCTGTGATGACCAATAGCAGGACAGTGGGACAGAACCTTTGAAGTTCAGCCTTGATGTGGGAACTTGGTTA